TGGGAAAGCCATGTCTTATGTGTCTGTTTCTCACTTTTGCTGCAAACACAAAGTGTCATCCTCCGTGGAGTGTTTCTCTGCACCTCGGATGGCTTTGTGGGTTTGAACTGTCAGCATCTTTGAGGCCACTTCTCCTGTGCTGCATTCTGAGCACAGAGCTGAGCATAAGATTTACCCTTTCCCCCCAGACAGGAGAGGAAGCTGAAGAGACCTAGAAGAATTTGGTTGCAGGGCTTGGTCTGCCCTGGTAGCTGTCACTAACCTTTTGAGCATGTTCCTCCTCTGTATAATGGAGACGTATTGTTCCCCACCTTCCCCATGGGGTTCCTGCAAAAGTGCAATCAGACCATGATGTTCTGTGTCAGGTTTACCGAGCAGAAGAGGAAACTCAAAGTGAAGAAGACTGACCACTACGTCCCAAAGACGGGACAGAAAGTAAAGCACCGAAATTGAACACATGAGTGTCAGTGTCCACAACAGAGACTGGCACATACTAGGTGCTCCAGCAAGGTTGTCTAGTAAATGAATGAAATGACACTAATGTTTTACTAATATCAGAGCTTCAGCTCCTGGGAAGTATCATGGATGACAAACATGGTTAGGGAGAAAGAATAAAAATGGTGTAGTTATATGTAGTTGGATGATGCTTTGAAGGACTGACCTAAGTACTTCTACAATTGTTTTCTACCCGTCTCTGCCCTTTCAAATGAGGCAGGAGCATCTATGATGGAGCCAGCTGGAGCTCACCCATGTTCCTCATCATCTCTTCCTCCTGAAAAATGGCAGGACTACATTTCCCAGATTCTTTTGCAATTAGCTGGGACCATGTGACTGAGTTCCTGCCAGTGGAATGCTTTGCTGTGAAATCCAGCCATGTTTGATCCTCCTCTCCCACACCTCTGGCTGAATGAGAGGACTTGGAGGACATGGCAAAGGGCAGAGCCTTAGGCTAGAAGGAGCCTGGGCCCTGAATGACTGCGTGCAGCAGAGCCCCTACCTACCCATGTTGGACTATGACTCAGCAAGAAAACTTCCATTTTGCTAAGTCACTGAGATTCAGAGGCTCTTTATCACGGAAGTTTGCCTACTCTAATGCAGGCATGTTGTCTCAGGAGAGGGTTGTCACAGCAGGTATTTCCCACCAGACAGGAGATAGTGATTCCGTGCACTTGAGAAGGAGTAGAGATTCTGCAACAAGAAAGAGGAATTAGGAGTTGTATAATTATGTACAGGAGGACAATCTTCTTTGTAATTGCTCCTTGAGGGATTGTTCCCATTACACAGCTGAGTAAGAGGAGGCTGAGAGAGAACATGTGGCCCTTCGGTACCCAGGAAGCAGAGTGGAGTCTTGGTCTTCTCACTCCTAGAGCCAGGCCCTTCCCTCATCACTGAATGGGTGGGAGACACCTGGCCCCTCCCTTGGAGTCTGCCTCCCACCTGATATACTGTGTGGCTGAACTGTGGGGTAGAATTAGGGAAATCAGGACTCAACAAGCAAACTTATTTCAGCAAAGCATTTATTTATCAGAGTGTCTACTAAGACACTGGAGGGTTACGGTCATTCACAAGGAAACCTTCAGCACTCTAGAATGCCCAGAGTGTTGGCCTCTGTTTGGGATGTAGTGCCTGGGTTTGTGAGGCCAGAAGTTTATACAGTATTGAGAGTCTTTTTGAAGAAAAAAAATAAATAAAATTACAAATGAAAAATTAGATATGACAAGGAATATTTATTTAGAATGAGAAAATAAAAAATAATTCATTTTAGCAAGGTGACAGATACCACAAACTTCACAAAATATCAACAATACCATGATATTTTTATTAATTAACTGCCTAACAATCCTTTATAATATTTTTTCTGTATTTTTGTTAGCGTACTATTGATTGCCTGTTCATATGACTCAATTTTGTAATATTTTCTGTAGAGAGAATAATAGGTAATTTGGTATATCTATGTTGATTGAATTTATGTTAAAATATTGATAGTTGGGATGCTAAAGCATGCAACTTCACACACAGACATCTTTACAGTTTGTAATCTGCCCCAGGATTGTGTGTACAAAACCAGGAAGCCTGATGTGTTGTATTTTGCACGTTCCCTATCCAAAATAAAAAAAGTACTGTAGGTTTTATAACTACACCTGCTTCATATGCCTAACAGCTGAGAACTTGTGTGCTGACTCGGTGTCAGTGAAAGCTGAATCCTCCATTTACAATGTATACATTTGAGAATTGGAGGAATTTTCCATAGACTAGCTTCTGGCTCCTCACATTTCCAATCTTATTTCTTCTCCACTGACCACTATCCATATACTTCTGGTGACAAGCGTCACAGGACGTGTTCATATCTGGATACAACTTCCATGCACTTTTTCCCATGTGCCAGGAGAGCTGACCCGGTGGGTGGTGGGAATATTCCCAGAAGCCACTCCTATACCAAGATGGCTAGTAAGAACCTAACTATACACAGAAGTGACTGTGAACTTCATAAATGTGCCCCACTGAGCCCAATTACAAGTATCCCCAACTCAACTTCCCTTTAGCCAGGTCCCCCAAATACCTGTGGCCACACCAAAGCCACTGGACCTAAGGTAGGGTGAGATGGAGGAAAAGTTGGAGCAGAAGGAGACAGCGGTCTTAACTCACGCATCATTTTGTAAACTTTATCGAAACATACCTGTGTGGACAATTTCTAAGACTCCTTTCCTTCCATATGCAAGTGAGGGGCCCTGTGGTGATCACTTAACCCCCAAGAAGAGAAGCATCCCTTGTCCCCAACTATCTGCATCAGACTGTCCTTTTGTCACTGCCCAGGGTACAGAAGTGTCATGGTGCATGGGCTTTACAGTCAAATGATACAGGTTGAATCCTAGCCCTTCTATTCACTAGCTGTGTGCCCTGGATGACACATTTGACCTTGACCTCTCTGAGTCCCAGCGCTATAAGGCATGACACAGGTATCAGTGGTGCTTATTAGCCTAATAAGCACTTACTAAAAGCTTATGGCATGCAAGTCCAGTGTTATGGACTGAATTATGACTGAATTGTGTTATAAATCCTAATGTCTATGCCTGTGGTTATAATCTCATTTGGGAATGGGTTGTCTTTGTTAAGTTAATGAGGCAGGATTAGTGTAGAGTATATTTTGAGTCAATCTATTTTTAGATATAAAAGAGATTAAACAAGCTAGCAGAGGAGAGAGAGGGTAAGATAGATCGTAAGGCACATGGAGATCTCCAAGGAACGAGGAAGCAGAAGCTGAAGAGACAAGGACCTTTGTCCAGAGCTGACAGAGGGAGAAAGCCTTCGCCTGGAGCTAGCACCCGGAATTCGGACTTCTCGCCTCTTACACTGTGAGAAAATAACTTTCTGTTTGGTAAAGCCATCCATTTGCGGTGTCTCTTTTGTAGCAGTGCTAGGTAACTAAGACAGCCAGTACTGGTACTGGGTGTTCCCCTAGATGTCTGGAATGGCTGACAAAGAGCCCCTTCCCCTCCACCATGCTTCGCTGGGACACACAGACTGGGTGCCTGAGCGCTGGATGGGAAAGCAGGTGACCCAGGAAACTGGGGCAGCTCAGAGCTCACCTTCCCCTTCTAGGGGCCTGGACGGCCCCCACCTCAGGCCAATGAACACCAAGAGAAAGCCCAGGAAAGGGAGTCCTAGGAGACACTAGTACCTAAGGCCCAGGAATCTCTATTACTGACCCAGCACAAATCCCCAGGCTGCGAGATTTTATGAAATGGGTAATATTTTATAAATTATTAACGCGCTTTTCCTTTTTGAGTATAAGCCTTTGCCTTACTCAGCTTGAAGCTGCCATCTTTCCAGAGGAAACTGGGAATTGTCTCAGAAGGATGAAGAGGGAAAGAACAAGGCGTTTTCAGCCTCCAACATGCAAAATAGGATTATGTAGCAAGATGCCAACCTTGTAGGCCAGGCTACAATCTTGAGAGAGGATTTTTCACTTCCTGTCTGTATGAGTTTAGTGTGGCGGCTATAACAGAATACAGTTGCAAGCTGTTACCTGGCCTCTAACCAGAGGATGGAGTGCCTAGGGGGTGGGGTGCAAAGGGTTAATGTGCTCAGCTGCTAACCCAAAGGTTGGAGATTCAAGTCTACCCAGAGGCGCCGCTGAAGAACACCCAGAGACCTACTTGGGAAAAATCAGCCATTGAAAACCTTATGGAGCGCAGTTCTGCTCTGACACACACGAGGTCGCCATGAGTCCGAGTTGACAGCAACGGGTCCTGGAAACCAGAAGATATCCTCTCTGAACTGGAGATTGCATTTTATCCCCAGGGCTGAGCCGCAAGGTGAGGTCCAGGACATGTGTCCCGTGGAGGCTGTTATGAATTGAATTGTGTCCCCCAAAAAATGTGTGTAGCAACTTGGCTAGGTCATGATTCCTAGTATTGTATGATTGTGTTATTTTATGTGATGTCCTCATGTGTTGTAAATCCTATCACTGTGATGAGGTTATACTGATGAGGTTGACAAGATCAGTGTCTTAATGCAATCTCTTTTGAGATATAAAACAGACAAGTGAGCAGAGACACATGGGAACCTCATACCACCAAGAAAGCAGTGCCGGGAGCAGAGTGCGTCCTTTGGACCTGAGGTTCCTGAGCAGAGAAGCTCCCAGACCAAGGAAAGATTGATACATCACAAAGACCTTCCTCCAGAGCCAACAGAGAGAGAAAGCATTCCCCTGGAGCTGATGCCCTGAATTTGGACTTGTGGCCTACTGGACTGTGAGAGAATAAACTTCCCTTTGCTAAATCCATCCACTTGTGGTATCTCTGTTAGAGCAGCACTAGATGACTAAGACAGGGGCGTTGGTGGGCACGGTAGGGTAGTGACCCCAACATGGTGGGGTGCAAAGTGCCCAACAGCACTCCACACAAGCAGCATGGCAGGGACAGGCTGGGGTGGCAGCTCAACAGGTGCTAATCTCCCAGGCTAGGCTCGCCTGGGCGGGAACTATGGGTGACTGGCTCTCAGGACCCCACCTCATTGGTGCCCATCGATGACATCTCCTGGCCCTCCAGCTCCGGCTCCTCCCGCAGCACTCTGCTGAGTACAGCCCCCAGGGGCTCCCGCATGCTCCAGCTCCTCTGTCTGCCCACCAGGAAGTAGATGATGGGGTTGGCGCTGCTGCCCAGGGACGAGGATAGGCGCGACATGCTGACATACAGGGTCTCTATCTGAGAACGCAGGTTTACCCAGAAGAGGATGAACCAATAGATGCCGAGGGGCAGGGAGCAGACCAGGAACACCAGGACTGAGACCAAGATGACCACAAGCAACCTCGAGGGTCTGCGGTGCCACAGCTGGGCGCTTCTCTGGACCCGGACAAAGAGGATCACGCTAGACAGCGTCATCACAGGTGTGAAGATTCCCAGAATGAGGATGCTCAAGACAACATCCACAATTAAGCACTGATGATCATTATGATTCCTAAACTGGCTGCAGAAGAAGGAGGCCAGCGTGTTCATCAGGAGGGACAGCATCCAGGGCAGGGCGCACAGCACTGTCGACAGATGTCGCGGCCGGTGACACCTGTACCAGATGGGGAAGAGGACGGAGAGGCAGCGCTGAGTGCTGATGGCCGTCAGCAGGCTCAGGCCCGCCATGTATGCAAAGTACTTCACCCTTCTCATCACCTCTAAGGCCTTGACCCTCTTGTCCTGGAAGATGATTTCTGGACTCATTACATCCTGGAAGATGATTTCTAGACTTATCACTGAGGTCATGCAGAGGAGGAAGAGGAGGTCAGCCACCGCCAGGTTGAGGACGTAGATGCAGAAGGGAGTCTTCCGCACGCGGAAGCCCAGCAGCCAGATGACCAGACTGTTGCCCACCATCCCACACACGCAGGTAAGCATGGTCAGGGCGCTGAACATGAAGTAGGCTGCTTTCAACACATCTGTCCTGGTGCTGTTCAGGGTTGGCTGTGGGGTCTTGCTGCTGTTCAGAGTCTGGTTCATCCCTATGGAAGGAAGATGGACCAACATGAATGTCTGTGTTGCATGGATCTGGCTGTTTCTGTAAGCTCCCAAGTTAACTACTTTGTGGTTCTCAACCCAGGTTCTTTTAGCAACAGATGATGACCAGGAGGCCTCATACCTTCCCCACTCCCCTTGTTGCACCCAGCCTCCATCTGTCACAGACCCACCACAACGGATCTGAGGTTGTCGGAGATACTCTTCATCAGATTAGAAGTTCTCTTCTATTTTGAGTTTTTGATTACTTTTTAAAATCATGAAGAAGTGTTGGCTTTTATCAAATGCTTTTTTTACATTGATTGATAATTTTTCTCCTGCAATTGTCACATCCTGTGGATTAATGTTTTTCTTTTATTTTTTTTTAATTGGACCTGAGGTCCAAAGAGGAGAATTAATGACTTCCGTCAGCTTATGGCACACTCTGATTATCAGCCCATTAAGCATCTCATTTAGGTTGTCCCCTTCATCTCTGTCCCAACTTTCTTTCCCCTCTTCCCATGTTCTAATTTGTCCTTGGACATCTGTTGTTGGTAGTTGCTGTGAAGTCAGCTCCATCTCATGGTGACCTGTGTATAAGATCATTTTTGGTAAAGTGGAGAGTCAGGGCAAACAAGGGAAACCCTCAATGAGATGGATTGGCACAATGGCTACAGCAATGGGCTCAAACATACCAATGATCATGAAGATGGTGCAGGACTGGGCAACGTTTTGTTCTGTTGTACATAAGGTTACCATGATGGTCCAGAAATATTTTAATTTACCTAAGTGTTGTTGTGATTTAGAATTTATTCTTTTCTTTTGGTCACACAATAATATGTTTTTAGGACATATCCAGATTGCTGTATGGAAAAGTAGTTTATTGTGGCTTTCAAAATGTACGTTGGTCATGTTTTACTTATCCATTCCTTCACTGTGGATATCTACGTTGCTTCAACATCCTCATTGCCATAAAAACACTGTGTTGAACATCCTCATGATGTCCACATTTGACCTGACTCAGAATTTTTCTAGGATATATGCCTGGTGGTGGGATTGCTGGGTCGTAGGACACACGCAAATTTTGTTTTGATTAATATTGCCTGATTGTTTTTCTGAATGCCTGCTTCAGTTTTCACTTCCACCAGCAGGAGGAAGGTTCCCATTTCCCCATCTCTTTGCCAACATGTGCTCTAATGTGCTTTTCTCATTTTTGCCATCTGCTGGTTGCAAAGTGTTATCTTGTTTATGTTTTAATTTGCACTTCTCTGATTACAATGAGCCTGAGCATTCGTTTATATACCTGTTAGCCATTTGGATTTCCCCTTCTGTGAATTGCCTGTTCATGCCCTTTGCCCATTTTCCAATTGGGTTTCCTTTTTTTCCTCCTTGACTTCCAGGAGTTGTTTGTATTTCTAAGTTTTGACATTTACTGGGTGTCATGGATCAAACTGTGTCCCCCCAAAATATCTGTCAACTTGATAGACCATGATTCCCAGTATTGTGTGGTTGTCCACCATTTTGTGATCTGATGTGATTATCCTATGTGTTGTAAATCCTACCTCCATGATATTAATGAGGCAGGATTAGAGGCAGTTATGCTAATGAGGCAGGACTCAATCTACAAGATTAGTTAGTGTCTTGAGCCAATCTCTCTTTTGAGATATAAAAGAGAAAAGTGAGCAGAGCAATGTGGGGACCTCATACCACTAAGAAACAAGAGCCAGGAGAATAACGCTTCTTTTGGACCTGGTGTCCCTGTGCTGAGAAGCTCCTTGACTGGGGAAGACTGATGACAAGGACCTTTCCCCAGAGCCAACAGAGAGAGAAAGCCTTCCCCTGGAGCTGGCACCCTGAACTCGAACTTCTAGCTTCCTAGACTGTGAGAGAATAAATTTCTCTTTGTTAAAGCCATCCACTTGTGGTATTTCTGTTATAGCAGCACTAGATAACTAAGACACTGGGTTTAGACATTGCAGAAATTTCTCTTTGAAAACTGTCTTCAGCCTGGCAACTTAATCTATTGTGAACTTTGGTGGACAGACACTCTTGATCTTGGTATAACCAAGTCCATCAAATATCCACCATGAAATGCTGTGCCTTTTGGATCTTAAGTCATTCCACATTATGTGGAGCCTCAGGTGAAAAGAGGCAGCAAGCCTGGCCCTGGGGACAGACACGCGATATTCCTAGATTCTGAGTCAACTTGGGCTCCACGTAGACCACCTGGTGGTAAGGGAAATGGTTGCTTTTTTCCTTACCTATATTTTGGTCAATGTGGGGCTCAAGGCATTGGAAGCGGGATTTGTAAGAGTCTGATCTGCCACTTCTCATCCTGGGGTTTGGAAAGAAGCAAAGCTTTGGGAAATGGTCGTGGCCTCAACTAGTTTCCATTACAGGCTTGCATGATCATAGGAAGGCTTCTGGGCCACACTGACTTTTAGGATTCTGTTTTATCTTCTCTATTGACTTACTAGCTACATCACTTTGTTTACAAAATTTTGGTGGTTACTATTTGCATCTTTCCACCACCAATCTGTCAATTTGTCATACTATGGTGGCTTGTGTGTTGCTATGATGCTGGAAGCTATACCACTAGTATTTCAAATACCAGTAAGGTCACCATGGCGGACAGGTTTCAGTGGAGTTTCCAGACTCAGTTAGACTAGGAAGAAAGGACTGATTATCTACTTCCAAAAATTAGCCAGTGAAAACCCTATGGATCAGAACAGAATATTGTCCGTCTGGACTCAAACATACCAACAATCATGAAGACGGCACAGGACTGGGAGACATTTCATTCTGTTATACATAAAGTCACCATGAGTTGGAGCTGACTCCACGGCAGCTAACAACAACACTTTGCATCACAATCTACCTTCAAATATTTTTATACCACTTTATGTATAATGTAAGAACCTTGCACCATTATATCCATTTCCCTCCTCCCATCTTTTGTGCTATTATCACCATACATGTTACTTTACGTATATTATAATCCCCACAAGGCACTGTTATCATTTTGTTCTAAACAGTCAATTATCTTTTAAAGAAATGAAAAAAATTTAAAAAATGTATTTAATATTTATCCACACATGCTCTGCATTCCTTTCGGTGGATCTGAGTTTCTATCTGGTAACATTTTTGTTTAGTCTAAAGAAACTCCTTTAACATTTCTTGTAGTAAAGGTCTGCTAGCAACAAATTCTCTCAGCTTTGTTTTAAAATGTTTTATCTCACCTTCATTTCTGAAGGATATTTTTCTCTGGATAAAGAATTTTAGGGTGATTGTTTTCTTTCAGTATTTTAAATATGTAATTTCATGGTCTTCTGGCTTGCATAGTTTCTGTCAAGAAGTCTGTGATAATTCTTATTCTTCTTCCTCCTTTTTTTCCCTTCTGACTGTTTGAAGGTTTTCTCTTTATGGCTAATATGGGTATGATAAGGGTCTGATACGGTTTTGTGTAGTTTTCTTTGTGTCCAGTGGGCTAATTGGGCATCTTGGATTTGAGGGTTTATTATTTTCAATGAGACTGGAAAATCTTAACCATTTTTTTCTTCAGATACCTTTTATGCACTCCACTCCCTTCCCCTCTTTTTGGAATTCCAATTAAACATGTTAGATTTCTTGATATTGTCCCACAGTTTACTGAAGCTCTGTTTATTCATTTTCCCCCATGTGCTTCACTTTGAATGGTTTCTATTGCCCTTTCTTCAAGTTCACTAGTCTTTTCTTCTATAGTTTCTACTGTAAATCCAATCCAGTACATTTTTTGTTCCACATATTATATTTTCAGCTCTAGAAGTTTCATTTGGTTCTTACTTATATCTTCTGTTTTTCTCCACAGTATGTTCATGTTTTCCTTTAAAACCTTGAGCATTTTTTTGTTGTTTTTGTTAAGGGCTTGATTTTTTAATTTAAGGGAATGGATGCATGCTAAGAACTTGAAGACAAGAATGGCGTGCATTTGTGTGAGCAGTGCCTGTTACAGAATGAGTCTTAACTGTTCTGATTAACTGCAAATACTTCCTTAATATGGAGGATCAGAATGTTGAGCTGCAGAGGGAGGTAGTTCTCAGTCTCCCCAGCAGGTGAGCTGCTAAGCTGCTTTCCATTACACCTTACAATGTGCCCCCAGAACCAATTCTCCCAGACTTGCAGACTCAGAAACCTCATTTATTAGCACACACTGAGTGGGCCCTCCCCTGCGGGAGGGTTCACATTAACCAAATATACCAACTTGTATGTACTAGAAATCAAAACCAAACCCACCACATTCGAGTGGATTCCAATTCAGAGCGACCCTATATGACAGAGTAGAACTGCCCCATAGGAAAACCTTGAGCATTTTTATAATAATTGTTTAAAATTCTTAGTCTATAATTTCCATCTTTGCTGTCATTTCTGGATCTCTTTCTCTTTATTAATTTTACTCCTGTTATGGACCCATTTTGCTGCTTCTTAACATGTCTAGTAATATTTGATTAGATTCTGGACATTGTTAATTTTACATTGTTGAATGTCTGGATTTTGTTGCCTTCCTTTGAAGATTGGTGGGCTTGTTATGGCTGGCATTTAATTTACATGCAGATTGTGCTTGATCCTTTCAACACTTGTTTTTCAGTTTTGTTAGTGGAGGTCTACAGTAGCATTAGAGTGACCTTTATGGGCCCTCTACCAAATGTCCCAGGTGTCCAGTAAGGTCCTTCCAGTCTGGCTCATCTGAACTTGAACATCCCCTAGCACTGTGCGAGCTCTTGGAATTGTTTAGCTGACATCTCCTCAGTAGTATTTCTTTGCCCAGCCTCATGGAATTTCATTCTAGGGATGCACGGCTTAGTTTTCAAACAAAGACTCAAGAGGACCCCTGTGCAGACTTTTGGAGTTCTTTCTTTAAGTAGCACACCTCATTCTCTCTGGTACTCTGTCTCAAAAATTTCAGCACCTTCAATCTCCCTGAAATCTGACTTTTGTCTCCTTAACTCAAAAAGACCACCATACTCCAC